AGGGGACAAGGCCACCTCTGGGGGGACAAGGACACCTTGGGGCTGGGACAAGGCCACCATGGTGGGGACAAGGCCACCACACAGGGGACAAAGCCACCACAGAGAGAGAAATGGCCACCACACAGGGGACAAGGCCACCTCTGGGGGGACAAGGNTGGTGGGGACAAGGCCACCACACAGGGGACAAAGCCACCACAGAGAGAGAAATGGCCACCACACAGGGGACAAGGCCACCTCTGGGGGGACAAGGCCACCACTGGGCGGGGTCAAGACCACCTCGGGGCTGGGACAAGGCCACCATGGTGGGGACAAGGCCACCACAAGGGGGAAATGGCCACCACAGGGGTGACAAAGCCACCTTGGTGGGACATGGCCATCATGGGTGGATGTTGCCACCACCCTGTTAGGGGGGCAAGGTCACCTCAAGGTGACATGGTCACCTCAGGGGGACATGGCCACCACAGGGTGGGCATGGTCACCCTGGGGACATGGTGAGGGTCACCTGCAGATGGCGACACTCAAGTGGGGTGGTTGGGGATGGCCAGGTGGGGATGGTGTCACCTGGGTGGGGTCAGTGTCACCAGGGTGGGTCAGTGTCACCCAATTTGGGGCAGTGTCACCAAACTGGGGCCAGTGTCACCCAGCTGGGATTGGTGCCACCTAATTGAGGTTGGTGCCACCCAAGGGAGTTCAGGGACACCCAGGTGGGTTGATGTCACCCAGGTGGGGTTGGTGTCACCCACCTGGGGTCAGTGTCACCCAATTGGAGTTGGTGTCACCCAGCTGGGGTCAATGTCACCCAGGTGGGACTGGTGTCACCCAAGAGAGTTCAGTGTCACCCACCTGGGGTCAGTGTCACCCAATTGGAGTTGGTGTCACCCAGCTGTGGTCAGTGTCACCTGGGTGGGGTCGGTGTCACCCAACTGAGGTTGGTGTCACCCACCTGGGGTCAGTGTCACCCAATTGGAGTTGGTGTCACCCAGCTGTGGTCGGTGTCACCTGGGTGGGGTCGGTGTCATCCAAGGGTGTTCAGGGACACCCAACTGAGGTCGGTGTCACCTGGGTGGGGTCAGTGTCACCCAACTGAGGTTGGTGTCACCCAGCCGCAGTCGGTGTCACCCTGGTGCCCTGGGTGTGGCAGAGCTGGAGGCACCCAGTGCCACCCCCAGCTGGTGCCACCAGGGCTGTGGTGCCACCACGGCTGTCCTGTTTGGGGGACGGAGACGTCACAGTGACACGGTGCCACGGTGACACGGTGACGCGGTGACACGGTGACATGGTACCATGGTGCCACGGTGCCACGGTGCCACGGTGCCACGGTGCCACGGTGACATGGGGACACGGTGCCACGGTGCAACAGTGACACGGTGACACAGTGACATGGTGCCACGGTGCCATGGTGACACGGTGACGCGGTGACATGGTGACACCGTGACACGGTGCCATGGTGCCATGGTGCCACGGTGCCATGGTGCCACGGTGCCATGGTGACATGGTGACATAGTGCCAGGGTGCCACGGTGCCACAGTGCAACAGTGACACGGTGACACAGTGACATGGTGACACAGTGCCACGGTACCATGGTGCCACGGTGCAACGGTGCCATGATGCCATGGTGACACGGTGACATGGTGACATAGTGCCAGGGTGCCATGGTGCCACAGTGCAACAGTGCAACAGTGACACAGTGACATGGTGCCATGGTGCCATGGTGACACGGTGACACAGTGACACGGTGACACAGTGACATAGTGACACGGTGATACGGTGACATAGTGACACAGTGACATGGTGACATGGTGACATGGTGCCACGGTGCCACAGTGACACGGTGACACGGTGACACGGTGACACGGTGACATGGTGATATGGTGACACAGTGACATGGTGCCATGGTGCCACGGTGCCAAGGTGACATGGGGACACGGTGCCACGGTGACACAGTGCCACGGTACCATGGTGCCACGGTGCAACGGTGCCATGATGCCATGGTGCCATGGTGACACGGTGACATGGTGGCATAGTGCCAGGGTGCCACGGTGCCACAGTGCAACAGTGACACAGTGACACAGTGACATGGTGCCATGGTGACACGGTGACACGGTGACACGGTGCCACGGTGACACGGTTCCTCGGTGCCCAGGCACGGACGAGGACCCCGCTGGCAGCAACAGGACCTTCGTGAGCCACCAGCAGTGCAGGGACACCCTGAGGCTGCGCGTGGGACGGGACTACCTGGTCTGGGGACAGGCCAGCGACCTCTGGGCCACCGGCAGACAGTAGGGACACCGTCCCCATTGTCCCCCTTGTCCTCGTGTCCCCATGTCCCCATTGTCCCCATGTCCCCATTGTCACCCTTGTGCCCATTGTCCCCTTGTCCCCATTGTCCCCAATGTCCCCATTGTCCTCATGTCCCGATGTCCCCATTGTCCCCATATCGCCATTGTCCCCATTGTCCTCATTGTCCCCCTTGTCTCCATGTCCCCATGTCCCCATTGCCCCATTGCCGCATTGTCCCCATTGTCCCCCTTGTCCTCATGTCCCCATGGTTGTCCCCATGTCTCCATTGTC